TTTAAAGTCTACTGGAAACTCAGTCAATTGTGGGGGGCAGGAGGGAGCGCGGGAAGAGAAGCTAATACCCAAGGCTCAAATAGAAAGAAAATGCTTTCGAAATGTTGATGGCAACATATGTACAAGTGTGCTTAATATAATTGAATGATGGATTGTTATAAGATTTGTAAGAGCCCCCCAATAAAATGATTAATTAAAAAAAAACCCTCAGTCAATTAAACTTTAGTTTTTTTTCTTACTTACTGCTTTTCAATGATCTGTAAGTACCCAATAGGAACTCTGGTGGCAGAGTGATTAGGTAACATGTTGGGTTGCTAAAGGCAAACTCTACAGTTGGAAACTACCAGCCTCTCTGCTGCAAAGTGGGGGCTTTCTATTCCAGGTACAGAGTTACAGTCTTGGAAACTCAAGTTCTACCCCATCCTCTGGGTGGCTCTAGATCAGCACCAACTTGACAGTAGGGAGTTTGGTTTTGTTTGGATTAACCCACTATGTATACAACTGTAATCTAGAAATTAAGCCAACTGTTTAAACCACTGCTGAAAAGTTTTTGTAACACCCGAGATATACAGAATCAGAATCATCAATATAACATGATGCCCAGGTAGTCCTGGGCAAGGATAATTAAACTGGAATCAAGGTGTTTCTGACAAGGATAATTAAACTGGAATAAAAAATATCCGGGCCCTGCTGTTGTTTCTGCCCCTTACCCAGGAGAACTTTGGGCAAACTGCTTCTTAAACGATTCAACTCCAGCCCCTTATCTATAAAACTTAAAGAATAATATAATCTTGGGCTTAGGTGGATTAAGAAGTCCCAGGTACACACAATGTTCCTCACTGACCCATAGCACCATGGGAGACAACACTAGAGACACACAGCGGGAATTGTGCCCGCCCTGAGCCCACTACGCCAAAGCCAGCCACTGGGGGCATGCAGCAGAGCAGCAAGAGGGGGTGGAGAGCAGAGCAATGAAGTCCCCAGGGATAGATGTGGGGTGAGGGCATGGCGCCCCAACAGACTAGACTGGAAAACAAATAGGACAACAAATAGACCCTGAACTGTTTATAGGTTTTTTGTTATTGTTGTTGTAGCTATTGTTTTATTTTCTATTGTTGCTTCCTTGTACTCGGTCTTGCTTTTTTGTGCATATTGTCGCTGCATGTCTACCTGGAAGGGATAAGCCAGATAAATAAGCCGGAAAAAAGAACAACAGGATGACAGTTCCCCGGGGACACGGGAGAGGGGGAGGTGGAGAGAAGGAAGTGGGTGTTAACAAA